CCATTTGTTAGCTCCTTAAGTTCATGTTCTATCGCTTCCAGATTCCACTAGAAAGCTACATTATCAATAACGAGTTTTAAAGCCTGAGCTACTTCACCCCAAGGGTAGATTGGCGACCAGCATCAATGGTTCATTTTCTTCCCTTTTATCAGAATCATCTTTATTTCTTTCTAAATAATGCCTTAGTCATATTTTTAGCTAAGAATGAGTTGGAGATCTTTTAAACAATTTCACTTCTGACACTAACTGTACTGATGGTGGCAGTTAGACAGGGTTTAATTGCTAAAGAGGTATTGCAGGACCCAAATGACAATGCTTTACAAATCTACAGTTCATCGCAGGAAAAGGATACAATATACCGACACCATTAAAACCAGGACATGCATTACAGCCACAGGCTGCCTCACAGCATAGGGTCCAGGGAGGCCAGGTACAAGCTCCCTCTCTTTGCAAGGGCCACACCAAGATGTATTTTCTCTCTTTTGTATTTGCAACTAGAGCCACTGATGTGAACACAAAATTCCTGAGAAACCAGGGAACACAAATTGGACTCTCAGCCAGGTTTCTTATATCATGCTGCTAACCTAGACATATTCTTCCTACATCGTCAACCCCAAACCCATTGGCCTCTGTGGTCTCACTGAGACCAGGTAAAAAATAGTCGATATTATTGTTCTCAATAAACAATGGTGATAACCTGTAACCCATGACTACACATTAACACAGTAAGTCACTTTTCATTGCTTTGACCAAGGATCTATGCTGTATAGATATTTTAGTAAAATATTTCATGCTAACTTCAGACCCTCTGGAATTAACCCTCCCAGCACAGATAACAACATCAAAGCGCATTGACTTTCTTGCTGTGCAGAGATTTCCATGTGAATTCCTTCAGCCTTAAGTGGAAGCTGCCTATAGAATGGTGTGATGTCAACAATAGTCTCCTCCAAGCCCCTTCTGCTGCCTGGGCAAGAAAAGTCAGCAAACCCACAGCAATTCTTCCACCATTATCTCCCTCTTTCTCTGTCTGTGCTAACTTAGGTCATAGGATTATTTATATATCAACATGGAGTGTTCAGGTTGACCCATAGGATGAGCATGGGGTTGTATGGGCACCATGGGACTTTTTTTGTTTTTTTAACCACTAACCAACTTTTTGGTGCTTCTTTTTTCTCCCACTATTATCATTAGTATTGAATGCAGAATGGTTTTTCTTTTCTGTAAAGTCAGTAAGGACACTTTCTGCCACCCACCTTTCTGCCTTTCAGTATATACCTCCACAAGAAATCAGAAAACCTGTATATCCTGCCATGACACCCAGAGCAAGTCTGGTCTTAGTTTTCTCAACTGCAAAACGATTTTAAAGGTGCTTTCTAGCTTTCAAGCCCTAAAAGTCTATGATTCTGTACAAGACAAAAAAAATCTGTTTCAGCTCCTCATTTTTAGCCTGCATGGACAGGAACAGAGTTAGTATTTGAGCCTGGAAGGTTGTGAGAAGGATGGATAAGCACAACTAGAGCCTCAGGAACCATTAGTGGTATCCATGTGTATAAGATATCTCTTCCCCCTGGTTGTTTTTTCTGCACACCTAAGAGGATCCTGTAGAGCCAGTCATTTTTCTTCTGTCCCCGCCTCTCACTCCCATAGCCCTCACACATGAGGGGTACCACCAAAAAGTCCCTGTTCTTTTATGGCATCAAAGCCTATAGCATCCTCTACTATAAAATATTTTTTAAAGACAGGGTATATTAGAATACTTGAGTTTTTATATAGCTTTAAAAATACATCCTCTAGTGAATACACACACACATAAACACATATATATGTATATATGTATGCATGCATATATATATTGAATGGAAATTCCTACCTTAAGGGCAAGATATTTTCACAAAATTGTGTCTGCTGGCTGCTTATTGAGGTTTCTAGAAACATCTAAGCATTATGTTTAATGTTTCATCAAAAAACCTCATTATAGGGCCGGCCCGTGGCTCACTCGGGAGAGTACGGTGCTGATAACACCAAGGCCCCGGGTTCGGATCCCATATAGGGATGGCCGGTTCGCTCACTGGCTGAGCGTGGTGCTGACTACACCAAGTCAAGGGTTAAGATCCCCTTACCGGTCATCTTTTAAAAAAAAAAAAAAACCTCATTATATTCCTTAAGATGCTTGCTTTGAGCAGTAAGTGTATGTCTGGTTGGCAGTTAAATTCTTCCTATTGATTTTCTCACCTCTTTTCAGGTCTGTAGTATGGGCTGTGTATACCTAACTAGAAGTCTTTTAAAAATTGTTCCATGAAAGTGGAATTTTGTTTGATATGTTTCTTTTGGGAAATGTGTTCTTCAGTCATCTGTGATGGATTGTTCTTGTGTTTAACCATATCTGGTTTTAACAGAGCACACTGCACAGTATTTCTCTCCTAACTGTGTCATCTTCTGCTCCTGTTATTTCAGAGCAATTGCTTTGCTCCCCTTTGGAGCTATTTATACTCCACATTTTCTGTTCTGTGTGTTACCCATTCACCCGTACAGAGATAAGAGTAGACCCAATAATATGAAATTCATGCAATTTTGGTGTTTGTTAGTTTCCATCACAAGACTAAATTAAGACTCTTAATACAAAAGTGAGTCTAAAAATTCTAACTTGTAAGTTCTTACATCCTTGGATCTAAAGCAAGATATTTATAATGATTAAAGCAAAGTAGCAAAAAAGAAAATAACAGGAAAACTTCAAACCACCCATAGCTTCCTTCAATATATAAAGAAACATGTTGGGAATTTTGGTGTTTGGAAAAAATCCATTCCTCCCTTCCAATAATGGAGCTGGTGTGCTCTTTCTAAACGTTCTCTCTATGTGCACTTGAAAATTTGCCCTCTGAGGAAGTCAAGCACACAGAGGAAAGAATGGAAGTTTGAGTCTTTTGTCCCTGTACCTCTCTCATTTGGCCTTGCTTTTTCCCAAGGTCTTCCTGCCTGCTTGCACTGTGATTTTTTTGTTCTTTTTTCTTTTTTCCACCTGACTCCTTCTCAAATCAGTCTCCCAAGTTATGTTTTTTTCTGCCGCTTTAAACAAAGTCTCTGCTTCCCTGAAAAGAGAACATTTTAGGGACACTGGTACATGGGAACTCACTGGGATGAAAGACAAAGAAGGAGCTGGCTGATTAGCTCAGTTGGTCAGAGCACGGTGTTATAACACCAAGGTTAAGGTTAAGGGTTCAGATCTCTGTACTGGCCATCTGCCAAAAAAAAAAAGAAAGAAAAGAAAGACAAAGACAAAACCACCTGCTTCCACCAGCAGATCTCCATCATGCTTCCAGGGAAACTCCAAAGTTTTCTGTTTTCATTCATAAAAAGAGAAAAATGTGCGCTACGTAGATATTAAACTGCATAGGTATTAAACACCATTTTTTTTCTTAATACGTAATTAAAACTAACTTCAAATAACTGGTAAAATACATTAAAGCCTTAAATGTGCATTTCTTGTTATTAGGAAAGCTGTTAACTGACTGGGATGACCTGTATTTATCTAAAGGTGCATTTGTAATTGTATTGCCCCTTCCCCCTAGATGCATGAGAGATTTACTTAATTATCATTGATTCCTTGTCTCAAAGGACTGAGAATTGTGACCAGAGCTTAGCTGTATGAGGTGGTTTAAAAGCAAGGTTGTTGCATTTCCAATTCAGGTAATAAATTGGCTTTAGAGAAAAGCATCTTTCCATGACACGGGTATAAAGCTTGTGATTTGCTGATGGTTGGCAATGTTGAAGTTTTGCTTTTGTTAAATTTTTGTCTTTCACAGAGAGTAGGATAGTGGTTACCAGAGTCTGGGGGGCAGGGCGGGGAGGGAAAACAGAGAGAGGTTGGCCAATAGGTACAAAATTACAGTTAGATAGGAGGAATAAACTCTGGTGTTCTATTGCACAGAAGGGCGACTATGGTTAACATTTAAGTTTTGTATATTCTATCATAGTTAGAGAGGCTTTTGAATGTTTTCACCACAAAGAAATGATAAAGACATGAGGTGATGAATACATTAACTACCCTGCCCCATCATTATACAAAATATGTATCAAAACATCAGATTGTGCCCCATAAGCATGTACAATTACAATGTGTCAATTAAAATAAATTTTACAAATGTTTGTCTTTCAGCACATGATTAAATACCACCTCAGATCAAGGAAATTCCCCCCCCCCCCCCGCCCACCACCCTTTAAAAGTTCTTAGGGGACTTGAAAAGTACATTGTGAAATACAATTTGAAGGTGAAAGGAG